GATGTCTTCAACAGACGTTGCTTTCTGTTCTGATGGACGCTATGGAATTCCCTCAACTATAGCATTGTTATATGTTATGACTGAAATTCCAGTTTCTATAAGGGACAGATGGTAACCTTGATTTAAAAAAAAAAAAAAAGATTAAAATATAGTCATTTCAAACTGTGGCAACTGAGAAAATGAGAAAATTAAACAAAAGAACCTAATTTGTGCAAGGTAGGCCTAAAATAAAAGGCCCCCATGGGTATGAATTGCTTTCCATTCTACTGAAAGCCTCTGTGTTTTCAGACATGGCAACAAAGGGGTGGCCACTGGGTCCCCATACACACACGTTTTTATAACACATCACACCCAGCAAACTGTGCTACTTGTCAGCAGCAAAATGACCCCAGACAAAGCCCACCACTGGTGGATCAGGATTAACTCTCTATTCTGAGAGCAAGAATATCATTCAGTATCTTTTGAGTAACTTTAATGTGCAAACCAGTCGTTTGCACAAACTGAAGTCGTCCACTTGTCCACAAAACAGGTAGCAAGTGAGCAGGGGCGGTACAGACTTTCCCACAGTCCTTTATCAGTATGTCAGTGCTGTGACCTCAAAGAGCAAGGACTAAGAGTGAGAGAGAATTAGCCAGTTGGTGCACCCCATTGAATCCTTGGTGCTGTTTTGAAGATTGCCAGAAAAGACACCTATTGGAGACAATTCTGATGTTTGTTTTATTGTTGTGAGAATGGCTTTTCACCCCCAAAAAAGGATCGGGACAATAGACTATATGCTTTAAATTCTGTTATAGATTCTGTTTTATGAGTTAGGGTAAAAGAGTCTCTTTAATATTCATTCTCATGGGAGATTTTTAAAGATCAATAGGAAAAAATTGCCCTTAGTATTTAACTAGATTATGGATAAATATATCAGTCTTAATGTAATATTTTTATGTATCTAGTTTATAGTGATTAGGTAACACATATCTAGGTTTTTATATTATAGAGACGATTAAAAGGATATACAAATACATTTAAGCAAAATATCCTAATCATAAAATGTCAGTCCATTTTTTATGTCATTGCCCTTTGCTTTTAAAAGCACTCTGATCAAGCTGTACAACAAGCACCATGGATCACCAGATTCATAGCCACTGGAAGAGTCTTCGCTTCCCTTGCTTCTTTATGTTCTAGAGTTATAGAATGACATGCCTTCTTCTCATTGCTCCTGTTGCACCCTTCACTTACCTTTATTATGGTCCTTACCACTCTGCATCATAATTGTGTATTTACATGTCCTCGAAACTGTGCATGCCTTGAGAGCTAGACTATGTCTTAACGATACTTAAAATTCTGGGGTGAGCAGAGCAACCACTCAATAAGTAATGAATGCTTCAAAAAGCATTCCTATTTCTCTTTAGAAAATTGTCAACATGGAAAATTGCTGTGTCCTCAAGGAACACTGATTTCCTTCCTAGCTGTCATGGCGGTTAAAGCAATCAACCTCATAGCACCCTGCCCTCACCCGGCACTGCCACCATTTCTATTTTCTATCTGAACCAAATTCTCCAGTTTCTAGCATTTCTAAGGAGGATTAACTCTTTTTAGCCAAAATAATGGGGCTTCAGGAAGAGCCAGTTGATACCCACAGGTCTGTTTTAATCTTGTGACAAAAATGAGTGAGAGGGAGACAAGAGATCATATAATCTGTGTTTGCATATATTTAGGCTCTCAAAAGGTATCAGAAACAAAATGCTCTTCAATTTTGGACGCTGCCTTCATTCTTTGCACTCCTAGCCACACAGTATTGAATGAAAAGTATATAGAAGACGGCTTTGTATCACTGTCTGGAACTTTGCAGCATATAGTGTACTTTAGAGACATCAACTTCATCCTAGAGTCAACCCCACAACCCAGGTACTCTCAGCAAGCAGAACAGCCTATCATAGGGCCTAAATGGAATGATAAAAGGATAAAAGGAAGGAATAATTAAGGAGATAATTAATGGTTAGGTCCATCACTAGTATTTCTCTGATTGGTTTTGTTTGTTTAAGTGGCAGATAATCAAGCCTGCAAAATTTAGGTCTGAAAAGCCAGTCATTTAAAACACTATTTATCAAACCAGATAAGCATTTTAACTATGTGTAGTCACTTTGTAAAAATATAACCGTATTCCTTGCTTTTTAGTGGTAAAACTACAGAATTTGATGTTATACATTTACTATTATTTTGATTGAAATTGTTGTTGATTTTTAATTGCCCTTGAATCATGCAGTGACAGGAAGATACTTCCTAAATAAGTCAAACATAAAATAGTGTGGAAAGACCTGATGTTGGCATCCGTTACTGATAACTTTAAAAACATAACTTTTCAGAAGGAAAAGATGAATAGAAAGTAATCATAAATTGCCTGTTCTCTTTTTAACCTACACTTTTCTCTTTGTCAGATTCTAGAGATATCTAGTCTGAGCACCTTGTTGAATGCTTATTCTCCTTGGAAAAAAAAAAAATAACTGGCTTGGTTAAGCTCAATGAATTGTTTTTCAGTATCAAATAATAATATAAGGATATATTAGATGATTAAATATTAACATCTGCAAATCCTGATGATTCTCCCTTCAAAATGAAGCTAGAATGTAACCACGTCCCACCACCTAGATTATTGCAATTGCCTCCTAGCTCTTCTTCCTACCCCTCCATTGTCCTTTCTCTACCTTATTTTCCGAATAGCAGCCATCAGAGCATGTCACTCCTCAATCAAATCCTTCAAAACCTCCCCGCTTAATGAGAGTTAAAGCCAAGTTTTTTCAGAGACCCGCCACTCTTTCCAGACCTCTCTGTGTCACCTACTACTGCCTCTCCAATCCCCTGCCCATACCGATCTCCCCAAAACCTTCCTCCAGCCACACTGGCTTCCTGGATATTCCTGGAAATGCCTGGCTCAGGCACTTCTCTGATCTTTCCACAGACAGTTCCTGCTGTGTCATCCAAGGCTCACCTCCTTCATTTCTTTGCCTGCATGTCACTATCTTCATACAACTTTCCCTGCAGCCCTTTTAAAAATTACATATACATACCAACATTCCCTATTACCTTTCCCATCTTTATTTTTCCCCATAATATTTAAGATACTATAAAATGTATTTATTGTCTGTCTTCTTCTTCAATGTAAATTCCATGAAGTAAGGGATTTTTTTAAAAACTGTTTAATTCACTGCTATTTCCCCAGCAAATAGAACACTGCCTGGTACACGGTAAGTAATAAATATTTGGCAGTTGAGTGAACCAACAGTCAAAACATTACCCAGCTTTTCCTATGTCTGTGACCTACTAACTACCTAAGATGTGGCACAGTTATTTTGAAAGGTGTTACCTAGTATCTTACATTTAACTGTATTTGGAAAACCATTTGAACCTGCCTGTTTATGCTTATATCCGAATTCTATAGGAAAAGATAAAGTTGCTGATGTGCCAAATAAAACCTGTTGCAATGTGTTTTAATGAACAAAATATTCCTTTTTGAACACTATCTTTCATGCGGTATGTGAGTTGGAAGTGAGGGTGGTAACATACAGGCAAGAGGACAAAGAAGATTGGAGGAAAAAAGATAATACCGATCCTCACCCAGATGAACAGTTTTCACCAGACCTATAAGAGCTGGTGCTCTTGTAGTGCTCTATTCTTTATTTAAAATTATTCTCAAGACCCAAAATTGAGAAGACTACCACGATGTTAAATTATGCAGTTATCCTAGGGTATATGAGGCCACTGAACTAACATACACATATTAAATCTCTTTTTTAATATAAAGTTAATAAATTAAAGGTGAGTCAAAGTTTGGACAGCTCATTTTAAGAATTGCAATATGGAAAGTAAATGCACTGCTGTATGGGAATACATAGCTTATCTGTCACTGATAGCTAATGAATTCCTTCCCATTAAAATTTAATTGAAAATCTTCAATGATATTTAAGCTTTTGCAGAAGTGTAAACTACTGTGACTACAATTCACAATGCATTTAAAACAATTATTCTTTATCATTAAAGTTAATAATATGCACATTAACCTCTTATGTAGTCTAAATCAATATTGTAGTTTAAAAGATATGACCTCTGGACAGCTTTGTCTAAATATTGATTTCATTGTCATTTGTATAAGGTATCAAACAAATTACATGCTGCACTAATATCATTAATGCTGCCCCCACAGAGTCTCTGACTTTATGGGTTCTTATAATACAGGGCATAACATTACAAAAATATTGAGGACTTCACAAAATGTAATTGCCTAAAGGATGAGATTTGAGGGTGGCAGGGCAGAGTTGCTATACACAGATTATAACTTCCAAATCCTTTATTTTCAGTGAACAGAAAAAAAAAGATTCTGCTCTTTAACATGCATATTAGTTGTTGATGTTTAGTTTCAAATGGTAGATTTTTTTTCTGCCTCAGAGGGTCTAATTTACCTTCTTGTGATGTCATAGATATCTCAGAAGAAAGTAACTCAATCTTGGTCCAATTGAAATATTCTAGTTCTGCAACATAGTAGTTTTTCTAAAATAAACATGATTAGAAATTCCTGTTGCAAGTTAATAGTGAATCAGATGAGTTGAAAAAAATATATGCCTTAGAGGAAATGGGCTGAACTTCTCAGATGGTTCTTACAGATTTCAGTAAAATCCGATTTAGGGATGGACATGCGTCGCATTCTCCATTGTAATTACCAGTTATAGAATTATTTTTGTTTTAAAAAATTGCAAATTGAAGTGCCAGCTATATAATTTTGTCTCTTTTATTTTTTTCAGGCTCTAAATTGCTATGAATCATAACAATTGCTAACATCAACCAGTTACATCTAGCTCTATTTTGATGGTGGTTTCTTTTTTTAATTTTTAAAATTGTACTTCACTTTTTTGTTTACTATAAAACTTTTTGCAAAAGAGATATGGTCATCATCTTGACACTGTGAACTGTGGGTGCCATTTACACTAAAAATATTTACTGAAAATCTCTTGTAGGAAAAAGTGACCCATTTTGTGTGGTAGAACTGAACAACGATAGACTGTTAACACATACTGTCTACAAAAATCTCAATCCTGAGTGGAACAAAGTCTTCACATTGTAAGTAGGCATTGCTTTGGGCTCTGAATCCAAAATTGTGTTAAATTCGATTTATTTTTGAGGGTTGTTTTTCTTTTATGCGTGTGTTTATTCTTAACTGATTCACAACTCAACGCGTCTGGCCTGCCTTTGCTAGCGACAATGAATTTTCCTCCTACCTTCCTGAAAGTGAAACCTGAGGGAAAGGGCATAGCGTTTTTCTTTGTTTTCACAGACATTTTTTAAAACTGTGCTTTTATATGATTTGGCTAAGGATTTTGTTCCCATTAACTAAATCGCCATAGTGCTTCTTCCTTTTATACTTTCTATTGAAATTCTTCCCAATTGCATTGACACCAAGGAAGACAAAGCTCTATTTGTTCCATTGCTGAAATCAGCAAACAATCCAGTCTCGAATTAGGCAGATGCTTTAGTTTTGGTTCTTTTCATTTTAGCACAATGAGAATATTAAGTATTGTCCTAGAGACCAAAACACCCTTTGAGTTAATTTTCCTTTTGTTTTAAAAAGTTTGTAAATCTTTTCAATCATACACTGTAAAAGCTGCCAATGCTACACTATAGTAACTCCTATGTTCCGTTTTTTAAAGGGGGCTTTTGAAATGAACTCTGAACAAAGGAGAATTCTCCAAACAGAAGTACTTCTTTAAGGTTTTCTAACATACTTCTATTTTTTTGTATTTGAAAAACTGTGAAATTCTTCATTAATTTATTATGTCTCTGCTTAAGGGCCGGTAACTAATCAGCTTTAACTTTCTGACCAATGTATTTTTAAGGAATTCCACATTTTTGTAAGAGATAAAAGCCTGGTCAGGAGACTTGTACTCCTAAGAAGATTGCAGACAGTATTTTTCTCTGGAATGCATAATTTAATGAATAGGTTTGATTATTATCAAAGCCATTAATTGATTGTGCCCTGATAAAGCCTCTCCTCTCATATGGTTGCAATTTTTCAGTAATGAATATATTCACTTTATTGTTTCCTCTTAATTCATGTTCTCTTGGTAAACAGTTTGATCAAGGATTAAATGCTGTCAACAATTTGCACTTGCTTTCCAGAAACAAAAATATGAAGAGCTCACACAGTTGTTTATTAACATATGTTGTCTTTGAAACATAATGGAACACTACTTAATTTCTAAATTCCAGGATGGTACAATAGCTCTATGTTACATTTTCTCCATTCTGTTTTCTGTGCTTGTGAATTTTTACCATAAATCTAACAGAAAGTAAGTCAATGATTTGGTGAGAGCTATAAACAAACAAGAGATGTCCTATTATTATAAAAAAGAATAATTATATAAAATATACTGTAACTCTTGTTGATATCAAACCTGGTGGTGTTTTATGTGAGGGTAATGAAAAGGTATGAATTGTGATAATTAGAAGAAGGAAAAGTCTAAAACCTACTGGTGATACTTCTTTATTTTTTAAATAACTTATTCTGTGCCCATTCAGATGGGAAATTATATTTCATTAAAAAATGATAACTTGAAATTACAATGGTGTTTAAAGTTACGGATAATAGAACCATCACTGTAGTTGACTTAGGTGCATTATGGGAAATTCTGTCAGATACCAAGCTACCTTGTGTATGTGTGTATGCAAATAGCATGCATACAAACACACACACAAAATCAGCTGGAGCTATCTAAATTTTCAAAACCGTTCTTGTTCTTGTTTCCCACTGATGAATTTTTTTTTCTTACATATATTTATTATGCAGCAACATTAAAGATATCCATTCAGTTCTTGAAGTGACAGTTTATGATGAAGATCGGGATCGAAGTGCTGACTTTCTGGGCAAAGTTGCTATACCATTGCTGTCTGTAAGTTTTATTCACCTGACACACTGTTCTGTGTTGCTTTTGCTCACTGAAAAAAAAAAAAAAAGAAAGAAAAGAAAACTCTTAGCTCTGTGTCTGTCATTTCTCAACCAAGGTCTGTAATAAGAACACTAAAAATTTTAACATACTCAATTCACGGCCATGTTGAATCCCATGATAGTTAATTTTTCCTGACAGACTTGATCCTGGTAATGAACAGGTACTTGTCAGAATTGCCACAGTTGTTTTGGGTTCTCTGTCAGTTTCAGCAGCTGGGGGTCAAAGGTCACTGAGGGAGTGTATTCAGTGGAGACCGCGAGACAGACGGCTGTCATGTCCTTTTCCCGCAGATTCAAAATGGTGAACAGAAAGCCTACGTCTTGAAAAACAAGCAGCTGACAGGGCCAACAAAGGGGGTCATCTATCTTGAAATAGATGTGATTTTTAATGCTGTAAGTCTTAACTTTGGCTTTTTTGTACTGCTAAAGAGTTCAGTTTCATGAAAGCTTTTGTTCCTGATTTGTAGAGAATTTCTGTCATTCCTCATTTTCTCTAAACCTTGATGTATCCTGGAGAATACGCTTCTGCCACCGCCTGGCACACCCACACTTTCTGTTCTGGTTGGCGACTGCTGCTACGGTTGAGTTCTGGCCGCTGCCTGCCGGCATGAGAAAGGGAAGAGCATGCATGTGCGACTGTATACATTTATATTTTATGAGCACAGCAGCCAGGACTTTGAAACTTTAGAGATTATTGCAAATTGAACCGCGTGAAAAACTTGTAAACATTTGTAATATATTAATCCATAACAGACACATATGTTGATGTATAGGTGAAAGCCAGCTTACGAACATTAATACCCAAAGAACAGAAGTACATTGAAGAGGAAAACAGACTCTCTAAACAGGTAAAAAAAAAAAAAAAAAAAAAAAAAAAGGCAAGAAAATATTCATCCCTCTGGGAAGACCTGATTAGATCTGTAAAACATCTAAGTAAATTTAAATAAACTTTAAAGGTATGGAGGGGTGAAGACAGGAATTTTTGATCTTCTACTTATTGAAAATGGTGCTTTCTTTTATTCTTTCTTATTCTCTCTTCCTTCCTTTCTTTAAAAGATCAAACAAGGACAATACCAAACTAATAAATTGGATGGGGGTGGTCAGAAAGGAAAGGGGATACTATAGGTGTTGTATATAATGGATATGTATTCATATGTTAGCAAAAGAATGATCATTTTGAACATAAAATGCAATTTGATTGCCATGGAATGTGTAAATAAATGAGAACACCAAAAGCTGAGGTTCAAATATACGTCCAGACCACCCACAGGTATGATGCAGGTGTGTGTAAAGCAAACCCAGCATAAGCTCTTCCCTCTAATCCAGATGCGAGGGGGCTCCATCTTCTCAGGGAAACATTCCTGCTAATTAGATTTTAACTATGATCTTTCAGAAGTAAACTTTTATTGTTTTTAGCTAAGAAAGTTAGAATCAGGAAATCTGATTTTTCTATCATGAAGGAAATTTAAGTTAAGCTTGATGTCTATTGCTTATCATTTTTAATTGGACTTAATATCAAGTTTTTAAAAAGTGCTAAACCACCCCTTTTAAAAAACATTTACATCCAATTCACAGAGCAACACTAAAATGTATTTGTTACAGCTAAAAAGTTCACTAAACGTATTTGTGCCTTGAAATATTTCATAATTTTTGTAATATTAGAAGCCTAAACATATTTTTACTTTTAATCTAATAAATACAGCAAAACAATGGAGTATTTGGTTGTTTAAAGGCAATATATGAGTTACAAATGCAATATCTAAGTAGAAATGTGAATAAGAATTCTTGACAATTCTACATAAAAGTAATAAAAGTAGTTCTTAATGTAAAGTGATAGGGGCAAAGAAGGAAAAGTAATAGACAGGCTCTACTTTGCCATCGAGGAATTTCAATTTTAGCAACTTGTCAAAGCTGGCATGCACATACACGTGTCTATATTTACACACGTATATATATATATATTTTCCATATGACTTCAGTCAGTAAACTTTGATAACTACTTCTTTAAAATATCATATCAGCATTGAAGTATATTTGAAAATAGCAAAATATTAACTTGCAGACATACAATTATTCTAAATTATTATAGCTTTGGTATTTTTGAATCATCAAATTGTACATGAGCTATTCTTTTTTACAGTTGTAGTCATGCCTTAATTTTAAATTTTAATTTCTAATTATATCAATTTTTATATACTTGTTTTAATAAGAGATTTTGTAAAGTACTTGGTTACCATACATTTTTCCTTACTTCTAAAATTATGGAAAAAAAAATGAGAAAATATAGGTTAAATTTATTGTGGGAGAAATATAGATTAGATAGATAGATGAATAGATAGAATAATACAATGATAGTAAGAATGGAAGGAATTCCACTAAAATGGTGAAAAAATTTTGTTGTCTTTAAGAAAGCAATTCTGGATAGGTTTTTCTGTAAGACCCTAAATAAACACATTCCAACTTCACTTAGAAATATCTTGAAAGTAAACCATTCTATGACTCTTAAAACCATAATGAGATTTAAGAGTTTAAAATTAATAAAGGTACATAGTACGTAAGTGGAAAAAAAATTAGTCTGTTAGAAATTTTTTTTTCTTGTGAGCAAAGGTAGTTCAACCTACATGTTAACATTACTTTTAAAATTATATTTAGTTAAAAAAGCAGTTCTTTCAACTTTCTCAGAAATAAATTCTTTAACTTGTGAGCCAAATTGTTTGGTATGTTCTTGTAACTTTATTAACTTTCTGAATCCTTGTAAGTCACAATAAGCTTGAAGAATTTTGCAGTATATCTGATGGTTTTTAGTCTTGCAAATTATAATAATATTTTCATTTTCCTTACAGCTGCTACTAAGAAACTTTATCAGAACGAAACGTTGTGTTATGGTGCTGGTAAATGCTGCGTACTACGTTAATAGTTGCTTTGATTGGGATTCACCCCCAAGGAGTCTCGCTGCTTTTGTGGTATGATCATACTGTATTACTTACATTGTTATTCATTAAATTCAGTAATCATAGCTGCATGTTTCTGTGGCTATAGTAACAGTTATGTTGATGTGGCCATTTTAAAACTCCTATTTTAAGACTTGACTGGACAGATTTGCCGTGGGCAGGAACCTGATGGATTGTACAAGGTCTGAGTCTAAGAATACATTTTCCCCCCTCAGATTTCCGGAATGCAAGACATCTCAGCCAATGTATCATTTTCTCTGTGACAGTTAAAAAGTAAAATTTTACATATTGCATAATTCCAAACCCCAATAGGACAGCCAAGAAAAGTCCTCCATGTGAAAAATAATAGTAGTAAATAATCTTGACATCTTCAATTTGATTTTAGTTGTTCTATGGTTATTTTTTTTTTCAAAATATGAAAATCATTGGTATCAGAATGCTATGATGCTGCTTGGTTATGCTTTAACATGTGATTCAATTGGAAGTGGATAGGACCTATTTAAGAGATGTTTTATTTCTGAGATTCTAGCTTTTAAAAAAGTCACAAGTGAGAATTCGATAGATCCAAAAAGTCCTTTAATATGTTCATCTTGTGGCCTTTTACTTTGATTATTTAAAAACTGCTGATGAGACCAACTGGCAGAGCTAGGAAATCCAAAAGAATACTTTGCTCTGAGCTTTAGCTGGGATTTTCTTCTCTCACATTATTTTGGCTTATTCAGGATTTCAGTCTGAAATTTAAGTAGCGTCGTTCTTTTGAAATCCTTTATTTTATTTTCATGTTTGTTCAAATATGAGTACCTTATGCTTCCTTATAGTTGCCAGTTTAGCGGAATACAACTTTATTATGGGGGCTTACAAGAAGAGCCTTAATTATAGTAACAAATCAACATTTTAGTATTACCATTCAAATGAGTGTATGCACATCTGTTTAGTACTTTGAGCTCTGTCTTCCTCTCAGGCCTTGTATGGGACTCTCATTAATGTCTGAGCACATGGAACAAAGAGAGTGTATGTCCCTTTGTGCTGTAAGTTACCAGAAAGTTAGGCAGCCTGCTTCCCATAGACATGTTGTTGTCTCCCTAAAGAAAGCGATTGTCATTATCATTAAGTTTTAGAGAAAAAAAATCAATCTCTCTCTCTCTCTCTCCAGCTCTCTCTCTCTCTCTCAATATTCTTTTCGTAGCTCTTTCTCATAATAAATATATGTGGTACTGTTAAGTGAACTTTATTCTGATTTTTCCCTACCCAAGAGGCTCTTTGACATTGAGGAAAAAAGATGTTGAGTTTCTATGTCTGTTTTATACTATTACTTCCAGGTTCTATGGGGTGATATAACAGATGCAAAAAAAAAAAAAAAAAAAAAAAAAAAAAAAAATTCTCCTGAAAAGATTGTGCTGCCATTTTTGATTCACTCCTTCCAAAATCATTTCTCACAGCTGTTTGTAAAATTTGAAAACAGAGAAATGTATATAATTGTATTACTTGTTCAGCAACATTCATTTTGAACACTTTAGCATTACAGTGTATTGTGTAAGGCTCCATAAACTTCTGACTTCTGGAGGTCACTCTCGTAAAATGAAATTCAAGATGGCAGCCTTTTTTGCAATTTCCTTTTGATTCTAAAAAAAAAAAATTAGATACTGAAATTCTGACCAACTTAGGTACAATTTACATGATATTACTCGCATGTGTCCGCCGTAAGGGGGTCCAACTTCCCTGGAGAAGAAATGTAATAGTATTTCTCTTAGCTGATAGTCAGTGTCTGACGGATTCAGTCCTATGAAATACAAGCTGAATGCAAGAGGCTTAACAAAAAAAAAAAAAAAAAAAAAAAAAAAAAAAGAGGGAGTCAGGCATAATAAAGGTCGGAAAGGGCCTGGTAACACTGATGGTGAAAAAAGAGAACACAGACTACAATGTGAACACACAATAAGAGTACTTTGGAGAAGAACCCATAATATTACCTGTGTTTCACTGGAAAAAAGAAGCTCTGAATCACATTCTATTGAATGTGATTAAAACAACTAATAACAAAACCACATGTCATTTATTATACCTGCACTGGGAGTTCTATGAGAATGGGAACCCTGCCCTTTCAGCCTGGTCCTCCAGCATCACCTGCAGTTTCTAGCACTTAGTCAGCTCCCAGTGTCAACGGCTGACAGAATCAGTTGATCAGTCTATGTACCAATCAGTTAATCTAAATTGTTTTCTTATGTGTAGAAACTCATTCTTCAGTGATGCCGGATAAATAAGGATTTGCTCTAATGAAGCTAGTTATTAAATCATGATAAACATAGCTTAGTACTATTGTAGCAAATTTTCCTGGAGTTTTCATAAACTACTTCATAATTCTTTATCAATCATTTATTCTAACCTCTGATTAAGTTCTAACATAAAAATCTCCTTATAATGACAAAAACAACCACTAATATTGTGTCAGGGAACTGTTTTACATGCGTTAGCCAATTTGATTTTCCCAACAACCTGAGAAGTAGACGGGTTAGTTTTCCATTATACAGAAGGAAGAAACTGAGGCACAGAAAGGTTAAGTAGCTTGCCCAAGGCCACACAGCAGATAATATTTCCTTTCTAAAAGAGCTTTTAAAATATATATGTACCTTGTAATTGTAGTATCACAGCAGTTCTAAACAAAGAATACTTAGGATATTTACTTACCTTATAGATATTAAGTTACCTATTTAAAAATGAAATGTTTCAGTGGTCTCATTGCATAACTAGAGACTTTTTAGGCCAGTTTATTGAAAAGAACAGCTTTCCATTAGGAGAAGGATATGAGCAGCACCCCGTTGTTACAGACATATTGTTCTCATCATGCCCTGTTGATGGATCACGGGTCTATTATCATGATATCGGTTCCACTTGGCCCACATTTTTATAAATGCGGCCACCTCACAGAGCACAGGCATTTCTATCATGTGGCTTGGTTTTAGGCCCAAGCCTGTAAACTTCATAATGTTTAAGTGTCTTTTTTCTATTCTATTTTAACTTTTCTAATTTACTTACTATCCAAAAATAAATGTAGAATAATAAAAGCAGAAAACAATTTTTAAAAATCCCTATGTCGATTAAAGTAGCACAAGAAATGCAGGCTTGGGACAGCCCCAGCTTTAACACTACCTCTCTGCCATAGGGAAGAGTCAAAGTCAGCTGATGATATTAGAGACAGGCGTTGGTCTGGAAGGTGATGGATAAAATATAGCAGACACGTTTCTGGGCCTGTGCTTATTTTGTGTGCAGTGCATTCGGTTTTAAAATTTTACTGTGAATATTGTCTGCCTAAGAATGAACACAGACATGTGTGGTACAGAAGGCACTGCTCGTCTTTGGGAATCATCTATTGTAGACATGGAAATGTCTCATAAATTGGGCCTAATTTTCATCAGGCTCTTGACCAGACGTTTGTGTTCTTGTGGATGTCAGTGGGTGCAACGTGGGGGAAGAAAGAGTGCACATTTTCTCTTTCTTTTCAGTACTGTCATTTCTCACTGTAATGAGCACAAAAATAATTGGACAACTGAGCTATCAGTAAAAGGACACACTTCAGTGTGCGTCAAAGAATTATTTTACAGGACAAACTTTAATCTTTAAATGTGATTGTAGATAATTTGTGGTACCATCTGTCCATTTGGAATTGTTTTAGCCTTTTCTGTCGTTACACAGTAAGTGCTGCTGTGTTTAACATTAACATTTGATATTTTACACATTTAATTTCTGTTCTGCTGTGTGGTCCTTGGGGAACGGAGCGCTAGTGCTACATGAGAGAGACAAAGTATTGATCAGTTAACATTTCAGCTACATTTATGTATGTCGCAAAATTAATGAAAATGCCAGACAAAAATGTCAGAGTGCACAAAAAGGTAGAATTTAAATTTGGTACTTTAATGAAAAGTCTTAAGATGTGCGTTATCAAAAATGTCCTCTTACCTTTAAAGTACAATTCCTAACAGAATAACTAAAGGGAGACACATATTTTACTTAGAGGAACAATGAACATGAATTATGAAGGGATGTCAACTCCTCGAAGTACCTTGTGTTCCAAAAACGGCATGTTTGAATGTTTAACTGTTAGTCATAAAATACATTTCTTTCTATTCATATCTGGAGGGCTACTGGCTTCAGCCCTCTGTCCTGAGCAGCCTACGAGGCAGGTTTCCTACTGAGATTCTCTCCCTAGGTTTTCCTTAGTATTCATGTGTTCCTTTTGTGTCAAAACCAAGAATTCCCTCTACAGCAATTCATCGAAGACACTCTGGTTCATTATTTGTTTTTTTTTTTTTTTTTTTTTCTGGGTCCTTTTCAAATGCCCGGTTTTCCTTTCCTTCCAGATAATTTGTGCTTCACCTTTATTCAATCCCCATTTTACTAAAAGATCACATTCAGGACAACAGCTACTCCCAGAAAGCTGGGCCATTATGCAGAAGAGAGAAAAAGCAAAGATGATGTATGCAAAGAATGACATGAGGCAGCTCTGTATAGCCAAGTGATTTTTTTAAAAAATGGAGGAAGCACAGCAAAGGAGGAGGAACTGGACTTGCAGAGGCAATGGGAATGTATTACAGTGACCAAAGACAATAGGCTCCTACAGACACCTTATCATGTACTTCCTTCCTGTGCAGAAAGTCTACTGCTATTAAACAACATATACACTTTTTGAAAGCTATTACAAACCCTAAGAACATCTAACGTGGCTTTCATCATCAAGGATCAAAAGGGAGAATTGCTTAAGAAGAAATATCAATGTGAAAACAAAGGCATGTCTATATCACCTGTAGTTTAAGTCTTAATATTCACATTAAGGCACAATGAAATGTAGGATAATTACACTGAACATAGTGACGGTCATTTTAAGTTTACAACAGAAATTTCCATTCTGAAAAGTTAAGAGACAATAGTACTGCCACACCAACAGAATTATGGTTCAAGTCTATGGCAATGTTCAGATGATTTTTGTGGAAGAGTTTTTGTTGTTACTGCTACAATTTTTT